AAAATGACACAATGTAATCTCCATAAGGTAGAGATTTCTGTTGGTTCTATATCCCTAGTGCCTAGAACAAGACTTGGCATATGGTAGGTGCTCAATAAATACATATTGAATTAATAGACATATTTCTAATGATACTGGGATTGACCCCTGGGGTGCTTTACCATTGAGCCACATCCTCAATTCTTTTTATTTATTTATTTATTTTGAGACAGCATTTCATTGAGGTGCTTATGGCTGTGCTTAGTTGCTGAGGCTGGCCTCAAACCTGTGATCCTCCTCCCTCAGCCTCCCAACTCACTGGAATTACTGGTGTGTGCCATTGTGCCAGATTTAAATGAATATTTTAGAAATACCATTTGATTAGAAATTTAAGAAACTATAGGTGATCTGGTAGGCCATAGATCAAGTGGAAACTAAAAAGCCAGATGCAATTTTGCATCTTAAACTGATGTGGAAAGAAGTCCAATAAGACGAATTTTTCTTTTCCATTTACAACTATTAGTTTAAAGCATAACCAATGAGTCCAGTTGAGAAACACCAGGTAATGGATATGTTTTAATATATAAAGTGTCACAATGTAGTTATGTTATGCTAGTCTCTAGAACACAGCTTCCTTGTCTCTGCTCAGGATCCTTGGTGGTTATTATTTACTCTTTTATCCTGGGCGACTGGTAGGCTTAATGAACAAACCAGTTCTGGGCCCTGAGGACTAGAAGGAAAAGGCTTCGTGGCAGCAGGCTCTGAGAGTCACTTCATTTTTCCAAAATGTCCCCATGAGGTTGGAAGCAGTGATGCCAGCACCAGCAGCTCCCTCCGAGAGGAAACTCTCTTCCCAGCTCCAGTGAGAAAGTTCCCAGAAAGGGACACTGATGAGCTGAGCTTGGGTCACCTTCCTGTCCCTTGGACTGATCTCTGTGGCCAGGGAGGAAGGATGGGTTATGTGAGAACTGTTGCCAGGATGGGGAGGGTAGAGCGGCTCCTCAAGACAGGGGCGGGCCATTCCCAGGAGAGAGAGGCCCTGGGCAGACCAACGCCTGTGACCTGTGGCCGTGAAAAGCAAAGCTCTTGTTTGCAGCCTTCAGATAGGTGGCTTCTTACAGTTTGGCCCTGCAAGAGTTTCAAATTCTAGGGTGACCAAAGTCCCTCAGCTTGAGGGTTCTTCAGGTCCAAGGATCAGTTAAACAAAGAGTTAGCCAACAGTCTGCACTGTGTTGTTGTTGCTGCTGGGGACTGAACCCAGGGCCTCCAGCATGCTAAGCACCCAGCCACATCCCCAGCCACAAATAGTCAGCCCTATTTGAAATAAGTTAAAAATAGTTTCATCTGAATTACAAAGATAGTATCAGTGTCTTTCTTTATAGGATCAAAACATTTTTACCACAAATTCTTTTTTTTTTTAAGAGAGAGAGAGAGAGAGAGAGAATTTTTAATATTTATTTTTTAGTTTTCGGCGGACACAACATCTTTGTTTGTATGTGATTACTGAGGATTGAACCCGGGCCGCACGCATGCCAGGCGAGTGCGCTACCACTTGAGCCACATCCCCAGCCCTACCACAAATTCTTAAGATCTGAATAACCTGATGGATCAACAAATAAAATTTTCTCCATTTTGCTCATTGGAAAGTAAAGCAAGATGTCTTGTGAAGGTCACAATTGATGAGGAGCTGGATTAGCTTCCAGCCTAGTATGTTTTACACCAAAGTCCAGCATCCCAACAAAAAAATGCAGCCCACAGACTAGTGTTTGATATTTGACTTTACTTTATAAAAATACACAACTTAAATACATATGACACTCTGTATACAAGACATAAACAACCAGTAGATTTAACATTTTCAGCTATTGCAACAGAACAAAAATATGTAAATTACCTTATAAGAGTAAAGGGTTTATTGTTTATTGATAAACTCTGCATTCACAGTCAAGGGGAGGAACGCCCGGAGCCACCCACACACGAAGCAAACCCACCCTGTCCAACGGTCCAACAAGCCATTCAGCGAGGCCTTCACTGCACAGCTTCATATTGCACTGCTTGTTAGACACAGTCGAACCTCTGTGTCACAATTGAGAGCTTTTGTCTTCTCTAGAAACGTCTAATGGAGAGAGAGATCATGTCTAGACAGCATTAAGTGTGTCTTGGAATTGTGCTCAACAGGGGAATCATGAACTGCTCCTCACTCTTCACAACTTGCAGTGGAAGTTGGTTAGCTATTTTGCAGCTAAATTCATTCCCAAAAGTTTTACAAAAATGTTGGCAGACTTAACATGAGCTTGATGGGGTACAGTGGCGAGGGAAGTGCCAAGCTTACTTGTAAGGGGCACTGTCACTATCCGAGGCAATTGCTCACCACCCCCTTTCTAACTCAGCTGGAAATCGCCCCCTGCCCCTGGCCACTTCTGAACTGACTGATCCGGCCTGCAGGGGTTGCTTGCTGACTCTGGTGATTGTTCAGACTGCATTACCTATGGCTCATTTAATTAATAGTGAAATAGGTACCTGTTTATCGGTATAAAGAAATGTTTACCTCTTGAGAATTCGATACATGAGAACATACTAGAGTATGTTTCCTGAGGTAAATGTAAGCCTTAAAGAGTGGTGTGCAATCTACAGAAGTATAGTGATTTACTTTGGGTAGCAACATAAAGCCCCCCAAGTCTGGGCTTTTAAATTAACAAGCTAATAAAACCAAGGATACATTTATATGAGAAATAAAGTTACAGTTCTGAAGTCAAAAAATATTGACAGCTGAGAATATCAATTCAAAAGGAGGCACAAAAGGCGAACTGAGAAACACAAGGGAGTGTATTTTAAAGTGCTTAGGAAGGGCGGAAGATTAATCTGAAATGCCTCCAGGGATTTCTAACAAGTTTAAAAAGTTTTACTTCTTGGTGACTCAGATGTGGAAGACATGGCTTTTCTTTAATAACAGCTGCTCAAACTTTTTTGAAAAACAAGATCCTTTATAAAAACTTTTTGGCCACTGAAATTATCTGGTAGCTGGGACTGTCACTGGTGTATTTTGAAATCCTAACCGGCTGAAGAATTTTTAATAGGTTGAGCTAGACAGCACACATCTGCACCAAGAATTTTAATGAATGCATAGAGATCTGTGGAGTTTTGCATGAAGTTAGTTACCAAACAACTTTTCATTGCAAATCATGCTTTGTTATTTCTTCATGCCCTGCTGAAGGATTATGGAAATCAGAAAAGTTCTCAGACCCTAAGGCTTAACTTTCTCATTTTATTCCTACTATATAAATAGTATGTGGCCATCCTGAATGTTAATAATGAAGATGTTGGAAACTAAGTCCCAGGAACTAAGAACCAAGCGCAGGCTACATTTCAACGAGTTACTCACTCTTAAGGATACGACTGGAAATACTAAAGAATTTTTTCTGCTATAATTACTCATCTACACATGTAGTTGGATGAGGAGTCACCAGGATAAACACTGGCACCAGCTGTTTTGCAGGGCCACATACTCAGTGAGCTGTCCTATTGACTTGGGCTGGTCCCCCATTCATATGACTCCCATATTCTGTTGAGAGAACAGATCCATGTTGGAATACTTGAGGCATGAAGAAGGCCTTAAGCAAAACTTAGGCCCAAGAAGAGCTTTGGGTTTGAGTTCTGCAATCTCAGAAGCTGTTTTAATGGCCAGAGGAAAATCCCATAAGGGATCATTAAAAGAAAGCATTTTTGATTATTACTCAGATAAACACTCACTTTATAAAACAATGGTTTTCAATGACAAGCTCAATGTAGCCTGAGTACAGCTGTTTTTGGCAGAGGTAAAAGATCCAGGAGACTGCAGTGGCTGGGGAGAAGGCAGATGCTATCTGGCAATCAATATGGGAGAGCTGTTCAAAACTCACATTATAGTAATATTCTATATACTTCAAAGCTCCAATTAGTACAGTGGTTACAGCTAAAAATGTGAGTCAGATAATGAGTGATGGTAGAATAAGTCAAGTGGAGAGACTGGCTCTCAAAGTGCGATAGCAAACGCCAGGCCTGATACTTGCTCTTCATTCCTCCCTGGAACACCCAGGAGACTATGGCAGGAGAATGTAATTCTCTATGTGAAATTAATTTTCATAATCCATAGTTTAAAAATATTACTATCCAGCAATTTGCAGCCCAAGCAGAAATCATAGATTTTGTCCTACACAGATATCTCCCAGTTGCTCTCACAGCATCAATTTCTCTGGCAAACCAGGTCAAGGCTTGGAAGTGGGGATGGAGGAGGCCAGGGTTTTGAGGAGAGATACCTCATGGCAGATGTGAAGTATTTTAAAAAAAGGCAGAGAAGAGGAGAAGCAGAATAATTCTGGGGAGGAATTGAAGAAGAGGCCTAGAGGCCAAGCTCCTCAAGGGGCACCTGCCTTTCCCACCTGTCCCTGGGTAACTGTGAGGAATATGAAAGAGACAAGTGTCATACCAGGACTCCCCTAGAACACAAGCATGCCCCAGCTGGGCTGGCCTTTCCCTGTGGGCATGTGTGTGCACAATCTCCAGGCGTGACCTGCAAGTACTTCTGTCCTGGAGCCCGACTCCTCTCTCCCAGGTGCATGGTGCTCCCTACTGCTGTCGGTAACACTTCTTTGTCAGGGAAGGCCTGAGATCCAGGAAGGGCAGGAATCTGGCTGCCATTGCTTGTCTCTTTTAGGACTGGCTCGTCTCTCCCCCTGGTGGCTGGATAAGGGAACAGGGAATGTCCTAGAGGGGCAGCTCAGAACCATCTGCCCCACTCACACTCTTGCAAAGGGCTGCCCAGAGTTCACTAAGGAGGGCTTGATGGTTCAGACACCCACAAGGAACTCGTGGTAGAAGGAGCGACTTGCTTGAAAGGTCACAGTTAACTCTCAGGGGCATGGATGTGGTTTGCTTGTTTTTTCCCTCCTTCTGTTTTTGCTTCCTTCTTTGATGATAAATTAAAAAAAAAAAAAAAAGGAAGGAAGGAAGGAAAAAGCAAAGGGTCCCACTGTTCTCTTCCCTCCCCAGAAACCTAGCAGACTTTCCCAAGCAATCGAGGAGGGATGCTACGGCCCAGCGCCTTGGAAGCCCCTCAGGCCGCCTGGCAATCGGAAATGAAGCCCGTGAGCAGAGCCGCCTGGTTCTCTCCACGTGCAACATCTCACTGTGAAGGGCCTAGAGACGCAGCAGGCACTGAGCTACTGATTTATAAATGACAGCCAGGAGGGGGTAGAGCAGTGAGATTCTGGGAAGGAAAGTCCCTGTTGGTTCCTTCCCTTAGGGGCGTCGTCAGTCCAGCCTGCCGCCTGTCTTTCCTTGCTCTACTTGATGTTCTTCAGGAGGGCTGTCCGGGCATTCACCACAGCTTTGAAGGCGTCTTCACTGCCAGGCGCTACACACTTGTCAGGGTGCAGAAGCACAGCGAGCTTCCGGTAGGCTTTGTTGACCTCTTCCCTGTGGAAAGCAGCCGGGCCGGTTAGCACCAGGGTCAGCCCCGCCCCCCCTTCACTAACATCTCTGCAGTCATCTCCCAAGCGATTATTACCTTTTCTAAAGGCAGGACTAGAAAACTAAAAAACACACAAGCAAATAAGTAACAGGTAACAGGTAACACACAAGTACAAAAAATATGGTGCAACATGAGTACACAAATTCAGGAAAGAGTAAAGGAATGATTGATGGAAACAGGCGGGACTGGGCATCTCAAAGGAACAGGGGCTGGGGCACCGAGAAGGTCCCCTGAGAAGGCTGTGGAAGAAGGGGAGCTTGGAATTAGCCCAGGGTAGGGGGTCTGGAGCCCCTGGGAGGGAACGGACAGGCCAGGAGCAGAGCACAGATGCTGCACTGGGACAGATGACCAAGGAATGCAGTCAGCCAGGGATGAGGGGAGTCACAGAAGGGCCTCAAAAGCACAACAAAACCCCTGGATTTGATCAACAATGACAACAGCAGGTGTTTGATGAGAAACTGGTGCTGGGAAAGCTGTTTCTCAAAATTGAGAGACAGGCAGGAGGTCGTTACAACAACCCAGGTTGAGAACAGGGTTTTAGGTTAAGATGACGGGGACGGGAAGGAGGACACACAAGAGACGCAGAAAGCAAGAGTGGGCGGAAGTGGGTGCAGAGCTGAACATCCAGTGAGGAGACAGCAGGGGCTGGAGAAGAGCGGGGACAGTCTGGGGAAGGCCTGGAAAGGACTGGCCCTTCCTGTCCTGCCCTTCATCCTTCCCAGGTGTCAGGCTCCTAGAGTCCCAAGTATCAGTCGCTGCCCGGGTCTGGCTCTACCAGGTTTTATTTTCCACTTTCCTTTTGTCATTCAGGGTCCCAGTTATCCTGGTGTGGGCCAGGCGCTCCAGGCGTCTTTATTTCACATCGGAAGGCTTTCTAGTCTGACTCTCCAAATCAGGAGATGGCCTCCGACACCTTGGCAGTGATGGGTGTTGTGGACGTCAGCCTAGAGAGGCTGAGGATGTAGGGTCTGAGTTAACAGTTCCCCATGTCCTGGGCAAGCATGCTAGGGCTTTTTCTGCTTTAAAAGGAATTCTTCTGGATGTGCTGGTTTTAACCTCACATGTAGTGTTTCTACATACATAACTTTGACATGAGTTAACAAGAATGACATTCTCCCTCTTACAGGAAATTTGAATGGACAGAATTTTTATATCTTCAAAGACCTTCTATCCTTGAGGCAGGTACAGACGTCCCTTCCCTTCTCCCCAAGTGTGTCTTGGTCAGGGCCCCAAAAACCACTGCTTCCTGAAAGAGTGTGTCCACAGTGGGTTAGTATCAGGCCAGGCCTTTGCGCTGAGAGTGCCTTTTAAGATTTCTAGGTACAGGAGAGACTCTCAAGGGAGGTTTTTGAAGAAATAAGACTGATGCAGGTGTATAACCTGAACCAATTCTGTTGAAGTGAAGATTTTCTTAAAGTTCAAGAAATAATTAAATAAAGGGCTGGGGCTGTAGCTCAGTTGTAGAGTGTTCAACTGGCACGTGTGAGGCACTGGGCTCGAGCCTTAGCACCACATAAAAACTAATAAATAAAATAAATGTACAGTGTCCATCTATAACTAAAAATATTTTTCAAAAAAATATTAAAAAAGAACGGTAAATATGGGCTGCGGTTGTGGCTCAGTGGTAGAGTGCTTGCCTAGCATACATGAGGTATTGGGTTTGACTCTCAGCATTGCATATAAATGAATAAAAAATAAAGATCCACTGACAACTAAAAAAATTTTTTTTAAAAAAGAGAACAGCAAATAAACACTGTTGGTACTGAACAAATATCAAAATTCTCTGTAACTTAAGAAAAAAAGTGTTTGAAGATTTTCCCCAAATATGCTTCAATACCATATAATAGACCCAGTATAACAGAGGAAAAAGGAGTTTGTGTTTATATTGGTTAAGGATATGGAGATCATGATGTCCTGGAAGCTCTGATCCATTCCAATTAACCAAAGTGAATATATAAGGAGCCAAAGTTTCTATTTCAGAATACTTTTCTAAGTTCATAATAAGTAGATAAAGAAATCGTTTCTCAATATTAGAGCTAACATCTCTTGGAGACGACATAGGAGTTTAGAATAAGACTATGGAGGTCTAAAAGGACTTTTGTGTGTGTGTGTGTGTGTGTGTGTGTGTGTGTGTGTGTGTGGTGCTGGGGATTGAATCTAGGGCCTTGTGAATGCAAGGCAAGCACTCTAACAAATGAGCTATGGCCCCAGCCCCTAAAAGGACATTTTAAAGAGACACCAATAAGCCAGGCACCATGGTTCATGTCTGGCTGGGCAAGTTAGAAAGACCTTATCTCAAAATAAAAAATTTTAAAAGACTGGTGATTTTGGCTCAGGGGTAGAGCACTTGCCCATCATACACAAGACCCTGGGTTCCACACCAGCACTGAACCAAAAAAGAAAAAAAAAAAAAAGATACCAATAAGCTTTGTGCTCTATTAATAAAGTCATTGGATTCCTTCCAAATTCAAAGTGTCTTCAGTACTCCTGGTGAGTTAAGAGTGACCAATAACAGCTTCCCTTTCCCTTCCCCTCTTTCCTTTTGAACTTTAAAAAGAGATGCTTGACTGCTTTTGGTGTTGACAAGGCAATTTCAAAATACAATGTTTCTTTTGTGTCATTTAAGGTAAAAATGTAAGAAGGGAGAATTATGGGAAAGAGAGCTATGATGCAAATAAGACCCTCATAAGTTATAATATATGTAGTAACAGTAGTATTATGTCATTAAGAATTATATTACCATACTGAGTAATAATTTATTTTTGCATAAGTAATGAAGAATAGCAATTATATTTATTTTCTCCCCAAATAATTCTTTTGGCTAAAATAGAATGGCTTAACATACATACACTCACAGATGAGGAACCAGCAAGGTTTTTGAGAAGAGCACCTAGACACACAGTGTTCCAGGGTCAAGAATCAGTAATGCCACTATCTGTTGGGGGTCTTGACCATGGTTAATCTCACTGAACCCCAGTTTCCCCAGATGAAAACTTTGGACAAGTTGATTGCTAATATGCTTTCCTCCCCCTAAAATTCTATGATTTAAGAAATATCTTTTGTAAAAATTTTTTAGGATACATTCTCTCTCAGACCAAAGCACAGCCTCTTTCATGAAGGGTTTACACAGACACATGATATAGCTCCCTTAGCAGGCAATTGTGTCTTCTGATTCGATATTCTGATTTGTCTCTTTGATATTCAATTAATTTAATGAAGCAGAGTCACTGTATGGTCTATTTGCACATATTTTCATGTTTCCAGCCAATTAAAAGAAGATAATTGCACCCATAATTTGGGCAACCGAGTCTCTCTCTTTCTGATAGCACTCAGCACTAGATATCCTAGATACCACTTACCTTGAGGCCCCAGGTTTGACTCCCAGCATGTCCCAACTATCTTTACTATTTCGAATTCTGCGAATGGTGTCTGCTTGTTCTTTGGTGAAACTAGTACTGCTATTTGTGGTAGGACGTTTTCCGCCATTTTCACATAAATCAACTATAGACACATAAAAGGTCTGTAAGAAGAAAACATGTGCCAGAGTAGAAGTGATTTCTGAAAATAGGAATTCCTTTCAAGCATCAACTTAATGACTTTTAACATATTCCAATAAGTCACGAATAAAGCAAATATGTACTTTGGAACTTTTCCTCTTCTACTATTTAAATATATGTACTCCTATACCTTAATACAGAAAAAATATAAGGAATAAAATTAAAATGGCTCATAATCCTACTCTCAGATAACCACACTTTAAGGTTAAAAAGTAATAGAAAGCCTGTAATCCCAGCAACTTGGGAGGCTGAGGCAGTAGGATGACAAGTTTGAGGGCAGCCTTCTCAGAATAAAAAATAATAAAAGGCTGGGATGTAGCTCAGTGGTAGAGCACCCACCTCTAAGTTCAATTACCAGTACCAAAAATAAAATTAAATAACAAAAGTAACAGATGAACGCTGTTAGAAAAATTCAAATTGTATAGTGAGATAACCATTGTTAGCAAATTTTTCTGGAAGAAAACTGTCACATACTCACAAGTATACTGTCACACACTCACATCCATACTCTATAAATCACTGCATCAAAGAGAACAAACACATTGCTTAGCAGCTGGCATTTTTTCACATAATAACACATCTTGGAATCTTTCTATAGTTACATTTAGAGACTTTTGTTCTTTTTACATGACTGTTCAGTATTTTACTGTATGGCTACACCATAATTTATTTAACCAATCTTCTTCTCATGGGCACATCCAATGTTCCCAGTCCTTTGACTACAATAAAAAATATTTCAGTGAATATTTTTGAGTGTCTACATCTCTGAATACTTGTAGAGATGCTGCTTTAGGATAAATTCTTAAAAGCAGAACTGTTGAATAAGAGCACGTGTGCATCTTAATTTTTTGTTTTGACAACTGTTGTCCACAGAGGCTATAGCAGTTCACAATCCCATCACTGTGTGAGTGCCCATTTCCCCACACCCTCATTTACAGTAGGCATTATTGTAATTTTTGACAATCTGAGATGATGATAGAGCTTTGGTTTACATCTCTTTCATTATAAGTGAAAGTGAGAATCTTTTCATATGCTATGGCCTTTTCTTCTGCAAACTTGATATTCCTTACCCACTTTTATGATTTTTAAGTGAAAACTATTATTTGGGCCTGCTCATGTTTCACACTCTGTGCACTGTAACTATTATTGAATAACTTTACTAAAATATGTTAATTTAATACACTATAGCTGCTTTTAATTGCCTTATCTCCTTTCCCCTCAGTTTCTTTTAAAATATCTTCCTCTTGGGGCTGGGATTGTGGCTCAGAGGTAGAGCGCTTGCCTAGCATGCATGAGGCAGTGGGTTCGATCCTTGCACCACATAAAAATAAAGATATATGTCCACCTATAACTAAAAAAATAAATATTAATAAAATAAAATTTCTTTCTCTTTTTAAAAAATATGTATCTATTTTAGTTGTAAATGGACCTTTATTTTATTCATATATGGTGCTGAAACTCAAACCCAGGGCCTCACACATGCTAGGCAACTGCTCTACCACTAAGCCACAACCCCAGCCCTATTTTGTATTTTATTTAGAGACAAGGTCTCACTGAGTTGCTTAGTGATCCTCATGAACTTGTGATCCTCCTGCCTCAGTCTCCTGAGCCACTGGGATTACAGGCATATGCCAATGTGCCTAGCTTTTAGTCAACTTTTATATTATTCTTTGTTAACAATATCAATCAGACAAACTAAATTCCTTCCTGACACAAAGCATCTACTAAGTAGATAGGAAATAAAAGAAAATGTTAAACCAGGGCTGGCTCAGCAGTACAGTGCTCCCTAGCCTGTGGGAGGCTCTGGGTTTGATCCTCAGCACCACATAAAAATAAATAAAATAAAGGTATTGTTTCCAACTACAACTAAAAAGTATTTAAAAAAAAAAAGAAAGAAAGAAAGAAAATATTAAACTAAACCAGCAGGAAGCACTCTATGTGCAGACTTACAAAACAGTGTTTTTATATTCTTATTAGCCTTTTTTATTTTTTGAAGCAGACTAATTTGTCCATTAGTTCTACCCAAGATTTATCTACATGGATAAAAGCCATCTAAAAGGGTTCACAGATGTTTGCTAGTGGTATGCATCAGTAACATTTTCTTCTAGTCTATGAGTTGACCTGAAATATAAATACAGACTTCTGAGGGCACAAGTACTCATTTATAACACTTACAGAAGACAAGCTGCGGTGTGATAAATGGAACACTAGAAGTGAAGTCAAAGCCTGTTTAATTTCATGTGTAAGTTCTAACCATGATAGAGTAATAGGTCTTGGACTAGCCCTCCTGTCCAACCACCACCAAACTGGACAATATATGGGGCAACTATTTGTAGGCCACAGACAACATCAAGTTTAAGACTACGTCCTGGGAGGTAAGCCCCACGATCACTTGCTTCTCCACCTGCAGGCCATTTTCTGACCGAGAGCTTGTCTGAGCAGACAGAGTGCCTTTGAGAGAAGAAGGGAGACATCAGAGTTTGAGAGCACTGAAGTGGCTAGAATCTGCAGAGCAGGACATTTGAAAAGAGGGAGATGTGCAGAACTGGGCTCCAAGTCCATGGGGGATCCTCATGTGTTTACAGCAGAGGGTCAGGCTATACGTACACAGGGTAAGATCATTTGAGTTACCAGAGAACAGGTAATTTAGAGTTGGGAACAGAACCAATATGCCAGAGGTCCAGTGGTGCTAGGGGAAGATATGTCCAGCCAGCACTTGAGTTTGGCCTTACCAGGGTGAAGAGATTGCTGTGATACCTCATTAACACCCCTGGCATCTAGCTGAGGAGCCACAGAAGGGCTGTGCTTTAGGAGTTAGACTCAGAATAACCAGAAACAAGAAGATCTACAACGGAGACAGAATTTGAAGAGAAGTCTTGTCAAATAAGAAGGACTTGGGAAATGCTTTGGGCTTCCTTTAGATCCTTGCTATTAAAGCAAAAAACAGAAACAACAACAACAACAAAAAAAAACCTACATAAGTTTATTGTGATTTTCCAATAATTGAACTGTTTCTTGAAAAAAGAATTGACATCCTTGAGGAAGATTTTAAAAAATATCTATATATGTATAGGGTCTCTACAATGTATTATCTATAGGTTTGGTATTTGTCAAAAAAATTATATTCATATAAAGAACCAAGAAACTGTGATCAATAGTCAGGAAAAAAGTAGTTAATAGAAACTGAACCTAAAATGGCTCAAATGTTGACCTTAACAAAAACTTTAAAACAGCTCTTACAAATATCTAAAAGAGGTAAAGGAAAATATATTCAAAAAATTAAAGGAAAATATACTCTTATAAGTGAGCAAATAAGGAATCTCAGCAGAGAATTGGGAACTGTACAGAAGAACTAAATGCAAATTCTAGAATCGAAACATACAGAGTTGAAAAATTCGCTCAGTGTGTTTAACAGCTGATTGTCAATGAACTTTAAATCAACAGAGACTATACGCAATCTAAAAAATGGGGGAATATGGAGGAAAAGTAAATATAGCCCCAGGGACTGTGGGACAAAATCAAATGGCCTGATACACATATAACCAGAGCATAAGAAGGAGAATGAAATGAAAAATATATTTGAGGAAGTAATGGTGAAAACAAAAATAAACAAAAAATTTCCCAAACCTGATGAAAAACACCTACCTATCCATCTCAGAAACTCAACAGCCCCAAATAATATTGGTATGAAGAGAAATTCACTCAGCACTTTATAGTCCAACTGCTGAAAAACACAGAGGAACTCTTGAAAGCAGCCAGAGGGGGAAAGGCAGACCGTGTAGAGAGGAATAAGAGTAAGAATGAACGTTTACATCTCATGGGGACAACAGAGGCCAGAAAAGAATGAACCAACATCTTTAAAGTGCTGGAAAAATTTTAAGGTGTGGAAATGCTAATTACCATGATGTGACCACTACACATTGTATATGTGTATCAAATTATCACACCATGCTCTATGGTAATGTACAACTAAATAATAAAAAAATAGAGTAAAAAAGAAATGTAATCTATAAGTCATTACTTATATGCCTTAGACAAGTCACTTTACTATCCTACCCTTAGATTTTCTCATATATGAAATGAAAATAATACCTGTCATACAATAATGTTATATGTCTCAAATGAGATGAAATATATAAATGTCTCTATATTGTAAAATACCATTTAAGTTGTAAGTATCATTATTGCACACATAGGGACAGACTCACATAACTGTATGAAAAGAATAGAAAGCAAGGCAAACCAACGTTAACCTGATCCTGAAATAGAAGCCACTGACGCCCAATTCAGCCTGTCAGCCAAAGATCAAACCTGTCTTCTAGGAGGAGAGGTGACATCTTGTGAGAAAGAAATTCAGCATAAAAGATTAAATATAATCCCACTCAATAATTAAGAAAAATTCTTTACAGTACTAACTACTCTGTTTAAAATCCTAAAAATACCAACTATAGTCATAAAAAGAAAAATACATTATTCATATCATCATGTAATTAAGAGTTGATTTATAACTTCTTGTTCTAAATAGCCTCCTTCTCTTGAAGTGATTCAAGATTAGTAGGTTTGAAGAAGTGACCATTTATTCAGGTTGCTATGTGAGCACATCCTTCTAGTGTCTGCTTGATTGGTGAAGCCTTATTTATTTATTTTTAATATATTTTTTTCAGTTATAATTGGACACAATACCTTTATTTTACTTATTTTTATGTGGTGCTGAGGATCGAGCCCAGTGCCTTGCACGTGCTAGGCAAGCGCTGTACCGCTGAGCCACAACCCCAGCCTGTGAGGCCTTATTTTTAAGTGTGACTGGTTGGATTCTATAATGATAGTCTCCTTTATTTGCACCCCTGTGGACTACAATATTGGATTATATTAGCTGTGGCAAGGCAGTTTTGCCACAGTAACACTTCCATTGATTCTGTATACAAATATAACACTTTTATTAAACTTGGGTAGTTTTAAAGAAAATTGTTTTCTTACTTAACCCATTACGTCCCATTGTCCTACACATAGGACAACTATAAAAATTTAAATTAAGCAATTGTATAGGTGTCCTAAAATTTTTTTATTGGTTTTTATGGGTGTCCTATATACAGGACAATGGGACATAATGGGTTGAGTGGTACAATAACTTATTGACTACATTTGATGAACATCAGAATTACCTGGAGAGCTTTTTTAAAATATAGATTCGTGATTCCATAACAACAGTAAGCTTCCAGTAGGCATGAGCCCAGAAATCTATATTTTGGAGAATTTCCCCAGGTTATTTTAGGGTTAGCATCATTGATTTTATTTTTTTAAGTACACGACTATGGAATGTATTACAATTTTTATTCCACATATAGAACACAATTTTTCATATCTTAGTATATAAAGTATGTTCATGCCAATTCATGTCTTTATACATGTACTACTTTTTTTTTTTTTTTTGCATTACAATTCTTATTACACATATATACCACAATTTTTCCTATCTCTGTTTATATATAAAGAGGTTGACACCCAATTCGTGTCTTCATACATGAACTTTGGATAATGATGTCCATCACATTCCACCATCCTTGCTAATTCCCAGGTAGTTTTGATGCTCCCCCAAGTCTGAGCTATAACCGACTGCAGACAGATCACTCATGAGCTCCCGCTCTCTCCACCTTTAGAGAAAGACCTTATTCTAATGAGAAATTCCTATTGTTTTCTGCGTCTCCTAATTTCCACTAAAAGGCAGCATGGCTGGCCTTGATGCTAACCCTAAAATAACCAAGAGCTTGGTTACCTGGAACATCTCATTGATCCCTTCTCCAGTTTGCGCTGAGGTTTCAAAGTACAGGAACCCTTTGCTTTCCGCCCAGAGACGCCCTTCACTTTCATCTATGCAGCGGTGCTTGGTGCAGTCGATCTGAAATAGAAAAAGTTGGGGGCGGAGAGAAGATTCCAACATTGTCCACTAGAATAGACTCAGGGGGGTCTTTGTCAATCCTTTACTGAGGCAAAAACTATTTTTAATGAGCCCCAGCACAAGTATATAAAATTATTAGGACAAAAAGAGCAAAACAAATAAAGAACAAACAACCTGCCTGTCGGCTGGTCTTCGGGTTCCCACTTCCCCCGTGGGAAGGCTGCTGCTGCCCACCTCTGTAGAAAACGCTTCAATTATCTGCCATTTCCTGGAGCCCAAGCTTGCTTTCCACAGCCACATGTCACTAGTGAATGTCCCTCCTCCCATCAGGGCAGAGTGTGATTATTATGGAGGTCTACCTCTCCCACTGTCACCAACATCCTTCCCCAAGTAGGACACCAGGGAAAAAAATGGATAAAAGTCCTGATATCCCAGGTTTGGGGTTTTTGTTGTGATCTGTTTTTAGATGAGGACATATATTTTGAAAGGTTGCCTATTCCTAAACTTAAGAATAAAGAAATTTCTTTCTTTTTTTTTTTAATGAACACAATGCCTTTCTTTATTTATTTTATGTGGTGCTAAGGATCGAACTCAGTGCCTCACACATGCAAAGCAAGGGCTCTACCAATGAGCCATAACCCCAGCCCAAGAAATTCCTTTTTGTTGGTTCCCCCAAACTCTCAGATCTGGACTCTTCCCTAGAAAGATGAGCATTACAGTTCCAAAGCAGTTACCTTGTTGGCGCACACTACAAATACAATATTGTCCATGTTCCCGTGAGGCCCAAGCTCCTGCTTCATCTCTGCCAGCCAGGCATCCAGGGCATCAAAGGAGTCTTTCTGCCCCACGTCATAGACCAGCATCACACCCTGCGTGTCCTTGTAAAACTCATTGCGGACCTTGGGTGGAAGAACAGATGCACAGGATGTAGGTTTTGTGATTTTATAAGAATGTATTTCATAATCATTAACTAGGCAAAGTGTGTTCTTCTATGTAGTCATGGCATTTGCTGTCATTCCTCAGGATTTACTTGTTCTTAGAGGACTTTTTATAAAATCAAAGTAACTTAACTTTTAAAAATCTATTACCATACAAGGACTTAGAGCAGAAGGAAGTGTCTTCCTGCCCACCCTTCCCACCTCCAGTTCTACTCCCCAGGAGTAATCACTTTTTAATTGTTAGTAGACCTTAAAAAGAACACCAATTATATGAAGTTCTTAGGAGGATGAGTGAACAACTAAAAAGAACCTAAAGCATAAATGACACAAATATCAGCCACAGGTTCATCCTTTTATATATATCACATCCAAAAGATGGCTCTCCCCAGTGCTAGGCACAGCTTCCCTGACTGTTGGGGTCTATATACCAACTTTTGAATTTCAAGGTCAGAGCCTCAGTGTAATAATAGGGCAAAACCACAGGCTCTGGACGCAGATAGATCTGGGTTCACACTTACTTACTAGTTGTGTGATCTTGGGCAAGTCACTTAACCTCTCTGCGTCTCAGTTTCCTCATCTGCAAAATGGGGATAATACTCTTACTTCACGGGGTTATTATGAGGATTAAATGAGATAATGAAGGCAGAGTACTTAACAGGGGTGCCTGGAAAACAATGGGTATCTTCACCTTCTTCCTTTCTTCCCTGCATTCATTATTGAATTTTTAAAAATATTTTTTTAGTTGTCAATGGACTTTTATTTTATTTATTTATATGCAGTGCTGAGAATTGAACCCAGGGCCTCACACATGCTAGGCAAGTGCTCTACCACTGAGCCCCAGCCCCAGCCCATCATTATTTGATTTTTCTGTGGTGTTTCATTAGAAATGGCAACTTGCTTCTGGGGCATAGCTACAACTCTAGGAAGAAGTGGCATGAAATACAGGGCACACTAACAGAGCAGAATCAATAAGAGGCTAGGTGAGCAAGGAGGGGGTTCAGGCTAAAATTCCAGGAAGACCCTTTTAAGAGGCCACAGTTAAACATTCTTTTCACAAAATCCCAATATGTACCCAGACCCACACTAGATGTGTAGTAAGAAATGAAGGTATCTTACACACATCAGGTACGAGTGTCCATACATAGACATACCTGGATCAGGAATACAAGGTCTATAAATCTACAGAACCTAAGAGGCTATCTTCTGAAGTGAAGACCAGTGTTTATTCTCCTGTCACTTCCTTTCCATTCAAAACAAAAAGAATTTGAAATGACAAGCAATGAGCAACAGTCTTCTCCCCTCAGCAGGGTGGTCTTGAGCCCTTCTGCAGCACCCAATGATGACTCTTCCTTCTTTCCAGAAGCTCTTGCTGCCTTGGCCTTCATGTACTACGTTCTCCAGGTTCTTAAACTCTCTTTCACCAATTCATCTCCTCCCCATTGGCCCCACTCCAGCTCATCACCAAGCCCTTCCAAATCCCATCCTGGGCCCTCTTCCCTTCTCTCTCACTCCTTCCTTCTAAGCAATATCAAATGCTTGTACAGGTTCAACCGTGAGAATCTCTAAGATGAGCCTTCTCAAATTGGCTTTCAGAGCTGCATTTCTAATTAGTACAGGACTCTTCTAGTTGAACGTCCTGTTGGAATCTCCAATTCAATATGTATAACAGGGACAACTTATTTCTTCATCTCATTCTTTCTTAAGCTTTTCCTTCTCTTGGACATCAATGATGAATCCCACATCATTCTTTCAGTCATTTGAGTTGAAAGTTTGGTGTCCACCGTTGGTGCTTTCTTTTCTCTTTGTTCAGCAGATTTGGACAATCCAGTAGAAGTCACCTGTGCCATGTTTATTCTCCTGTCACTTCCTTTCCATTCTTGCTTCCAACATTCTCTCTTGACTGCACTACTTTAAGAGTCTTCTAAGTAATTTTCCTAGCAATATAGTATATTGCATGTATACCTTTAAAAGCCCTGGCTCAACATTTATTTGGTATTTCCCCACTGCTACCAATTCTCTGAAGTTCAAACTCATTTAAATGAAGTTAAAAATTTCTGGTCAATTCTCCCCCAATCTTCTCAGTCTTATCCTCTTACCTTCCCGTGACAGTCACACTAGATGATCTAATTCTACCCTGGGCCTTGTGAACTCTATCAGGAACCAGATACCTCTGTGTCTTTAATCTTTCAAAGTCTCGCTATAATGCCATATCTTGCACACCAGCCACCCCCTGCCCTCCTGAACAGAGGTACTCTCTATGTCCCCTGGAATACCACAGCCATTTGTACTTCTAACAGTGAATCATTCACTTCCTGCCATTTTCACAGATGGTAGTTCATCTAGCTGTCTTCTCCACTACACTGCAGCAACTGGAAGGCTTGTATCTTGATGTGTCCATCCTTGGGTCACCCACAGGGCCTAGTAGATATGAGTTTGAAACACTGTTTTAATTGAATGGCTGGATGTGCCTCAGTAGAGAACAAAGATAGAAGCCAAGGGAAACAGAAAGAATTTCAAATGCAGGTCATGCTCTCCAGAGAAAGGTATGTGTGTAAAAATAGACTGAAACAAGTGCAATGGATTTCTGTTTCAAGGGACTCAAGTTCAAGTTCAAGTCTGAGCTCAGCAGCAAGCCACCTACTAGTCTTGAGTAAGTTTTATTATGCTCAGCCTTAGTTTCTTCATCTGTCAAATGAAAAGATCAAAGCAGATGTTTCAATGGTCCCATACAGTTCTGTTATTCTGGCCTCCCAAAAATCGCTTTCTATTCTTATACCTGGCAGACTCACAATATCCAAAGTTTAAATAGGATGCTAAGGGAATAGGAATTTGTTCTTAAAAGCAGAGATGGCAAACTGGCTGGTAGGCTAGAGAAAGCTTAGTCTAGTATCACTGAGGCCTCAGAATGTTCTTGTGATACCCTTTAACCAGACCTCAGTTGTGGGCCCCAGTGGAAGCAATGCTGGTGGTAAGAGACAGGCCCCGCCATTCCCTAACCTCTGACTCTTCTCTCTGAGATTGCTACCTCACACATTAAGAGATGGTCCTATCTCAGCAGGCACTTTGGGAAACCAATCAAGAGGACTGATGCCTTCCATGGAGGACAGGCACCAAGGATTTGAGGAAGCCAGGAACCGCGGGCATGGCTGTGGGTACCTCACTAGGTGTGTGCTGAGCAAGGTATATTCTGGTCAGCTTGGAACTTAGAAAGAAAATGACTGCTTGTCTAAAAGGAGCATCTGAGCAACAGTAACTATTGGACAAAAAATGAGAGATCATGGCTATTTGGGCAAAAAGGTATTTCAGAACTGGTTATACGAGGGAGTTTCTATTAATTATAATTCTATTTTATAAACTGCTGGAAAAAATATTGCAATTTCAGGTTATATTAATAAGAGCCTAGTGTCTAATAATGGAAAGTAACAGAAACAGAGTGTTTCACTAGTTAGAAAATATCTGAAATGTTGTCTTAGTTCTGAGTTCCACATCAGCTAACAAGCGATCATCTACAAGGGATGCTCACCAGGAAGACTCAGATCTAGCTGTGGCAGGAATACAAATACTTTACCTAAAGAAGAAGAAACTCACAAATATTAGAAAGGCTCTGTTGTAGAAGTACAAATTCGGTCTACATTTCTTCAAAGAAAGGTCAGGATCATGGTGAAAGTCAAAGGAGAAATTGCCAATCTAGGTTTTTAACTCTGGGTAGGATTAGTTCACAAAGCAATGAGACTCTGTCATTAGAGATATTCATTCTCCAAACCCTCTGCACCACTCAAAACCGGGCTGGGTATTATACTGTCCCCAGAATGTCCTCCTACATAACTTAAGTATCCACCAGCTCTTGGTTTAAATGTTGTATCCTTTAGCAGGACTTCCTGACCATCAGGATAGATTGAGTCTGGGTTTTAAGCGCTCCCGAGCACTCTGTCATTTGTTTAACAAGTGTTTTCTCTAACATATTTACATTCCATGAGGACAAGGGACACCGTATTTCTCCAGCATCCAGCATGGAAACTGGCATACAGGTATCTGTGATTGAATGGTGGCTATTGATCAGGAATACCAGAAACAAAACAAAATCCTACAGTGGGCAGGAGTACAAACCACAGTACTCCTTAGGCATCTCCTAACTCTCCATTGACATGACTTTGGTGTAATCTAAGATTGACATTAGCATTTTTGGTAGTTAGAATCTCTGTCAAACTTATAGTCAATGAGCGCTCTGGGCCTTTTGCACTGATAATATTCTATACTTGTGTAATGGACATAACCCTCTGTGAAGCTTCACACTTAAAAGGAAGTCATTTTACCTAAACATTTGGCAATATTCAAAAGTTGGAAGATTATGTAGCCATTAAAAATCCTGTTTCCTCTGGCAAGATGAAGTAGACAAATATTTCTCTATTTGCTGCTAAGTATAGGCAAAAGTATTGACATTATACATAAAGCAAATTTTTAAAAACCTCTGAAAGATGGAGAGAAGGCAGCAGACAAGCTAGGAGCCCTGGGACCTGAAGAATGATATGATGGTGAGTTTTCTGGGTTTCCTTTTTGCCTCACATACCTAAGCCTTGAACAGAAGTACAACTTGAAAATGCCAAGAGGTGCAGATAAACAAAAGCCCAGTCAAAAACCTGATCTCTCTGACCAAAGGACCAGGAAAAGGGCAGTTTGGCAAGATAAAAAGACTTTACTAATCTACTCTAGCCAAATGCCTTAGAAGAAAACTGTCTCCCACCCACCACCCCAGGAAAGACTGAGCAGAAATTTTAGAACTGAAAAATAATGTAAATTCAAAGCTTAGAGATTGGGCTCAATAGCTGATAGGAGGGGACAAGGAACAATAAGTAAAGTAGGAAGTGGAATAATAAAAATGACCAAATCTGAATATCAGAGAGAAAAAATGAACAGCTCCTCCGGGACCTGTTGGACTAAAACAAAAGATAACAATCCAGGGAGGAGAGGAGAAACAGGGGGCTGAAAACGACTCAAAGAAATCATAGCCAGGCGGGTGCGGTAGCTGTGATCCCAGCTTGCAGGAGGCTGAGGCAGGAAAGTTTCATGCTCAAAACCTGGGCACCAGAGCAAGACCCCTCTCAAAAAGAAAAAATTGTTTTCACACTGGGGATTGAACCTAGGGGTGTTCTACCACTGGGCCACACCCCCAGCCCTTTTTATTTTTTGTTTTGAGAAAAGGTCTCACTATATTGTCAAGACTAGCTTTGAATTTGTGATCCTCTTGCTTCAACATCTAGTACTTGGGATCACAGGTATGCCAGTGCTACCATGCCTGCCTCAAAAACAATTTTTAAACAGAAAGAAAAAAAAGTGGCTGAGAATATTCAAATGTGGCAAAAGACAAACCTAGAGACTTAAGAAGGTTTGAAAACTCCAAATAGAATAAACTCAAAGAAATCCAGTGAATTAAATGAAAATGAAAATACAATATCTAAACATTTGTGGACACAGTTAAGGCAGTACTGAGAGGGAAACCTGTAGCACCAAATGTACCTAAAGAAAAGAAGAAAGTCTCAAATCAATAATCTAGTTTTCTACCTTAAGAACCTAGAACAAAAAAGAGCAAAATAAAACCAAAGCAAGCAGAAGAAAAGAAATAATAATGAGAAGAGCAGAAGTAAAATGGCCAAACCAGAAAAGAGCAAAGAGCCTCCTTAGGAACAATGAAAAAGCCCACCCAAAGGGAAGGGCCAGGAAACTCAGTGTGAAGCCACTTGGGACTGAAAAACAGATGAAAGTAAACCAAGTTGAGTTCTTTTGGAGAAAAAAATGCAATGACCAGTAGAGATCAAAAGACCATGCTAGAGCCGACTGTGAAAGGGGTGACATCGAAGTTCTTAAGTCCAAATGTGAATGTCATTAATACTCGCACATTCTGGATTGAGATATGAAAAGCAAATGCCCTTTGAGGTTGAAATGTCTTAGCTATTTAAATGTCTGAAACATGAGCAATAAAATTTCCTCTCCCTATTTAAGAGCATAGCATTAAAAAATCAACAGGTGTTTATTAAGTTAAGGATAAGGCCACAAATATGAGCAAAATTTACCCAATATTATTCATAATTCAAATATTGGTTGTTTTAAATAATTCTGGATCTTTCCCCAAACCCACTGACAATACTGGATAAAGTTTTCTCAAACTTTCTTACCTCGTAGAAGAAGGGATGTCCAGCCATATCAAAGATGTTGACTTTGATCTCTCTGTCTCTGACTTGTACTCTAAAACAATCAAATGAAATAATTCCAAAGATCATGATTTCTGCATTCACTTTAGTATCATTTATGTCATTTATTAATTTTAAAAGGATATCTGTGTGAAATTTGAAAGAGGCTTTCTTTGTCTCCTTCCTAATTCCAGATCATTTGTATAACAGGAGCCAGGAACCTGACAGATGACCCTACCTTCTGACTCCACCTGGAGCAAATACTCTCACCTTCACTTCATCTCAAGCCACATCCCTGAACCAACAAATATTGGCTACTGCTGTGATTTTAAGAAAAATCAATTTGTGGCCAACCCCTATCAGCATCCCCTCCTGCCCCTGCAAGAGTTCTGTTTGTATTCTTCACACTTGAATATATCCTACTCCCTTCAATCTTAAAAAAAAAAAAAAATCAATTTAGGATAAGTAAAACTAAGAAGAAGGAAAATAAGGAGTTTTAGTTCACTTAGTAAGAGACATCTTAATTATTACTGGTTATACTTGGTTAACATGCAGCAGAATTGCAAACATTAATGATGTATGTTTAAGTTTTGAGTGATCTTCATTTGAGCAACAGCAATAGTTAATTTGTTTTCAGAAACAAATTTGAAAACAAAGAATAAAGTGAGAAACAATAATCATTCATAATAAAATTAATTAGTTAATATCATAGTATATTCTAGTCTTTTTTAAAGAAAAAACACTATTGGAAAATCATAAATGAATATTATAAATAATTCAAACATTAAGGAAAAATAGAAAGATGAACATTAAAAGTCATATCAAGCCCTATCACACAGAATAACCTTCATTAACATAGATACACAACCCAGACTTCTTTCTATGCATAGATAAGATTGATAAACATAAATACCCTTATAAAAATGAAATTATGCTATTATAAAAATATATAAAATTTACTTTTTAACTGAATTTAACATAAACAAAAGAAACTTTAATGAACTAAAAGGAATTACTGAACTTTAAATATAAATGTTTCAACACAAAATTTCCTAAAAGATCCTTCTAAGTTAAGAATAGAAATTAAAAACAGTAAATAAAACAGACTGAAGTCATTACTACTCTACTCCAGCCAAGTGACTTAGAAAAAACTGTCTTCCATCCCAGCCCCATAAAGTAACCTGTTTCAGGGTTAGAATTTTGACAGGGCTGCTAGGGAACACAAGGCCCTCAGCACTCGCTCTCATTGTCCCTACACTGCCTCCTGGTTTATTTATTTATTATTATTCCCTAGTCCAAATTTATAACACTCACTTTCTGTTCTGAAACCATAATTCCTACAGTTGTTTCATGTTTTTTAAGTATATTTTAGTTGTTGTTGTACCTTTATTTTCTTTACTTATTTGTATGTGGTGCTGAGAATCGAACCCAGCGCCTCATACGTGCGAGGCAGGCACTCTTACTGCTGAGCTCCAGCTGTAGCCCCCTGTTTCATATTTTATATTACCTGTATGTTTAAGTCAAACTAGCCACTAAGTGTCTTATCATGGTTTCTTTGCTCCTGAAGGCTCATAGCTTTTCATCAGTTCTAAGGTGCCTGTTTTCACTTCAACACCTGTGAAATCAGGATCCATCTTGCAAAAGAGAGAATGAGGAAAGAAAACCCTAATAGGGCTGGGCAGTAGCTCAGAGGCAGAGTGCAAAACAGTACTAGAACTTAAAGCATCGGGGGAAGATCTGGCATAGTTTATATTTTTAAAATTCTTACTGTAAAAAGATAGTAGCTGAGCAGGGATACAACCCATAAAGCCCATAAAGTCAAGAAGTAACAAAACAGTCTTTATACACTGAAACTCCAAAGAGATCAACTTAATTTGGAAACCAGAGGAGGAAATTACTTTAGAAAATTTTATTATCTCAAGGCAGTGCTTGCTTCAGTGTGGTCTTAAAAACACCTGCCTCAAAATTACAGGAGAGGTATTAAAAATGCAGATTCCTGCATCCAACCTCAGACCCAGTGAATCAGAATCTTAGCAGTGGCCCCAGGAATCTGCTCTTTCACAAAGGCTACAAATAAATTTTAAGTACACTGAAATTAAGCTTCAAAATTAAAACAGAAAGAAGGAATGGCTATCTACAGCATCGGGCTTTCTTCTCCCAGTTGTGGTGCACATGGCTGTGCCATCTTCCTATGGCTTCCACTCTGCTGGCCAAGCTAAGATGCCTTTCCACTGAGTGGGGGAAGGCACCTGCTCCACTTGGGCCAATCAAATCCTTCCCTGAGACTTCCCCCACATGGAACTGGGGATAGAACCCAGGGAGTCATCATGTCTTTTCAGTAACACACTAGATGTCATGCATGCTCGGTGACGAATGCACCACCACTAGGTACACCTCCAGCCCTCTCCTCTGAGATTTTTAAACTTGGGATATTAATTTTAGTTCTTCTGTAAAAATAAAATTAAATATGTGAGCTTCAGAGCCACTGGCAGCTGTGTACAAGCCGCACACTTAAAAGACTAAAGCAAGAGAGAGAGAGAGATGGATGTAGTAAAATGATCTGTCTAAATTCTGTCTCTGGTTCCAGCCTCCCCTGAGGCCTCACTGTGTCATCCTTATAACTGGAATATGTGAATTGACTAATACTCTTTTCTTTCAGGTTTTGCTTGAGTTGGTTTCTGCCTGACTCATCATGAGACAACCATCTTTTCCAAAAGAAATTTCAGTAAAAAACAGAAGTTTGTCAAATAAACTGCAATTCTCTGGCACAATATGGTAATTTCCATTTCTTAGATAAGTAAACTAGTAAATTATATGGATTAAATACAAAGTCACCATAGCACATGCCTGTAATCTTAGCAGCTTGGGAGGCTGAGGCAGGAGCATCATAAGTTCAAAGCCAGCCTCAGAACTTATTTGAGACCTTATTTCTAAAAAAAAATGCTGGGGATGTGGCTCAGTGGCTAAGTGCCCCTGGGTTCAATTCCTGGTAGCAAAATAGAACAAAACAAAGCTGCCTTAAACAGGGTATCTTATATCACTGATGAAATCCTGTGCCCTTAAGTAGGGAAGGGAAAAGTAAACTAGGAAAAAAAAATGTGGATTTCAAATGAAAAGCTTCATACATTTCATAGCTAAGTGCTATGACTTTCATTCTTTAAAGAAAACTTGCAGAAATACCCTCTGCTGCTGCCAGGTGATAAATGGTGATGTAACAAACTTACAGAGCTCTTACTTGAGCTACTATACAGACACGAAGGTGTGTAATTATGCACCTAAACTCAACTCTGCCATTCACGTAATCAACATTTTGCTATACATATATACCCCACGGTTTTTGTCTGCCTTTTTGAATACTGCCTTCATATTCTAATCTGAAGATTTTCTCTTTAGATGTATCCTTTATGTATAATAAATAATTATTGAGCACCTACTAGGTATACACACCGCATCAGGCACTTGGAGAGAACTTACACTAATAACCTCTTCCTCAGGCATTTATAATTTAAGAGGCATTAAAAATATACAGATAATAATAACAAAAAGCAATTTAGGGCAAGGACCATAAATAGCACAGAGAACTTTAAGATGTCTCAGTTGCAAAAAGATCATGACCTATAAAGGAGGGTTCAGAAGATCTCATGGGAACAGGGTTTTTTATACTTAGGGGACAGTATGGTAACGTCACAGAGGCAGGAAGGCACGAGGGCCGCACTTGAGTACAGGCGAAGAGTCAAGTGTGGGATCGTGCCTTCTACCCCAATTCTATTCCGTGTCTCTCCTGCTAACTTAATCCTTTCTCCTCAAACTCAACCCACTCTTTGATTTACCTCCAAATAAATCCTTACACATAATTTTCCACATACGTAGATGTTTTTTAGAATATTTCAAAACATTTAAAAACACACCGGCTGACAGGACCAGCTTGTGTAGAGACATGTTTCCTGAAAAGCTGCACCTGCCAGTTAGGCTCTGTGATGACTTGCTTGTCACTGTCTGTCCTCCCCCTACTGTGTCCCAAGGCTGTGGGACACAGTGTGCTTGACATGGTGGCTCTATGAAGGAATGACTGATTGCCTCATGGATGTAAAGATCTTAGTGCTATCTTTCCCAATGTATCTTCAACGTCTCTATTGTAAGAATATCTGCATCAATGCATTCATGCAAATATAGATCATTTTGGGAAGAGTTCCAGATTTCTGTGTAAATTACAAGCCCAGGGAAACAATATACTTACTTGGTGACTCCATAGTCAATTCCAATTGTTGCAAGGTATTTAGACACAAATCTTTTCTCACAGTATCGCTTTATAATACAGCTCTAAAAAGGTAAAAATATATAAATCTTGTAAATACACACTAGGAAAATATACAAAGTAAGCACATTTCTTCATTATAGTTTCTTTATTCACCACTATGAAAGTGTTTTCAAAAGCCAAAACTATTCCTGAAACATGCCAAAATCAAAGAGTTTAAAGAAAATTTATTTTAAAATTCTTGTCTTAATACTAAATATGGGTATGTTTTCAGTTTTGCTCTCACTCCTGTGCTCTTTTCTTTTGAAGATCTTTTCAATGCCACCACAATATCTATGTCCGCCTCGACTTCTTTCCCAAGAGCAGATCCACATCTCCAGTTTCTATAAAACTGGTTTCTACTTAGATGTCCTGCTGTTCATTCAAATTCAACATGTCCCAAATTCAGCAAGTTCACATAAAAGCAGCTCATCCTGCTGACATTTTAATAATGTCCCTATTCTCCCAGTCACAAAGAATCAAAACATTAAAGTCAGATTTGATTCTGGGCCTTTCTTAATCTTTTGAATGGATCTTCCATCTTTCTTTTCATTCCTATTCCCATTGGTATGGTTTTGGTCCTCATCATCTGCCGATAGGAAATTCGTTACTGGTCTCTCTACCCCCTTTCCCTCCCAACTTCAGTCGATACCGCACGCTACTGACACCATTTCACTTCTCTAATTCAAAAACCTTCAGTGGCTTCTCACTGTGAAAAGAGTTTGACTTCACATTCTCTTGTCCTTTATTCAAGGTCCTCTAGAATCTGGCCCTCATCTGTTTTCTGTGTTTAAATCCTTCCATATAAATTCTGCATTTCTGCAAAACTCCCAGGACCCAACTTCCTGACTTTTGTTAGTTCTTTTCCCTTCACTTTGTAATGAGCTTTCTCCCCTTCATCCCAAATCTTACTCATCCTTTAAGGCCCAGATCAAATTCCGAGCACCCTGGTGTGACTGAATTCCCCTTTATACATGCACACGGAGCATCTGAATTCCTCTGCTCTTTACATTTCTATTATTACAGATGTACACATGTGGCCTCTCGCACATGCCAGCAGCCATACATGGCCACGCACTGTGACCTAGCTTCTCAGGGTGGCTGTTTACCTCCTCTCTTCAGCTAGGCACTGAACTACTCGAGGCAGGCATCATCCTTCTATCTTTTGCAGAAACTAGCTCTTTGCCTTTCACAGAGGCTTAAAAACCACCAAATGAATATAAGCAAGCATCAATTATCCTAGAATAGCTTGGACTATTTCTGATTATGAATGGTTAATTTACAATGTAAATTTCCTTATGAACTGAAGGAAAAATTTCTTTGAGGGGGTTACTGCTAAGAAGCTATACTTTTTTTCTTCTTCTTCTTCTTTTGCAATGCTGGGAATGGAGACCCAGGCCTCATGCGTGCTAGAAAGTGCTCCACACTGAGTCACATTCCCAGCCCCAAGGATACACTATTTAAAATGCTTTATAGCTTGTAGGTACTTCTCAAATGTTTTCTCTCACAAGAGCCTAGAAAAATAAATAAAGCCTTAAAAAATTATTCATGAGCTTCAGAGACCAGAAAATCCTTTAACACTAGTCTGTTAACTAAACTGTTTATAAAGTTACACACTTAAATAACAATATTAATAATCATTCCTATAATGCAAAGAGATAGGGTCCTGTTCCTTAGGATCTTACAAGCTAAGTTAGATAACATAAATACAGGGGGAATAGATAAAATTAAATAAATACAAAACAAAACTAAATATTAACTGTGCAGCCAAACTGATTTACTTGAATAAGTTTCCCCAAAATAGCATATCGAAATCGAATAGTGACAGGTTCAAATGATAACATATGGTATTAATCAACAAAATAAAAGCATAAATGAAGCTTTTATGGGCTGGGGATGTGGCTCAAGCGGTAGCGCGCTCGTCTGGCATGCGTGCGGCCCGGGTTCGATCCTCAGCACCACATACAAACAAAGATGTTGTGTCCACCAAATACTAAAAAAAATAAATATTAAAAATTCTCTCTCTCTCTCTCCCTCTCTCTCACTGTCTCTCACTCTCTCTTAAAAAAAAAAAAAAATGAAGCTTTTATGCTGTGATAACACAGAGACAGTGATCTGACAGAATTAAAAACAAAATAATCTTCTTAATCTATACAAAAAAGTATATATTCACTCATTAGACAAATAATGAGTTTATGACCACCTGTGCTGGATATGGAGTTAGGTGCTGGGATGTGAAGACAGGATCAAGTTTCTACCTGTAAGGAGCTTGCAGTGTTCTGTAAACAGGTAGCAGTAAATAATTATACAAGTAAGCTTTTAAATTACAGTTGTCTTAAGTGCCATAAGAATTCTGGGATGTTATAAGATAATGTAATGAGAACCTAACATTTTACTTTCCAATGTACTAAAAATGGCACTTATATCTGAGTAAGATTAAAAACATTTCCCCTCTCACATAAAAGTTTGTAATATAAACTTGTATGTTCACATTATCATTATTTACAGTACCTGAAAAGTTAAAAAAAAAAAAAAACCCAAAGGGATAAATAAACTGTGCTATATCCACACAAGGAAATACTTTTTTTCTCTGTTTAAATCCTTCCTGAAGACAGGAAGTATTGACACATGCTACCACACAGATGAGCCTTGTCAATGACATGCTGAGTAAAAGAAGCTTGTCATAAAGGACCACTGTTGATTCCATTTATGAGAAAGTTCAGAACAGGCAAATCCATGTAAGCAGGAAGAACATGAGTGGTGGCCTCAGCTTGGGAGTCAGGGGTAATGGGGTGGACTGTTAATTGCTATGTGGTTTTTATAGGGAATGATGAAAATGTTTACAATTGATTGTAATAATAGCTGCATAACTTTGTGAATATATACTTTGCTTTTTAATTAATTTTTTAAAAAATTCTTTAATGGTACTGGGAATTGAACCCAGGAGTGCCCTACCACTAAACTGCATCCCAGATCTTTTAATTTTTTTATTTTGAGATAGGGTCTCACTAAGTTGCTCAGGCTGGCCTTGAACTTTCGATCTTCCTGCTTCAGCCTTGGTAGTAGCTAGGATTATAAACTTGTGCCACCACGCCCAGCCCACTGTACACTTTAAATAAGTGAATTGTACATTAATTGTAGCTCAGTGATATAATAAAGCTTTACATTTTTCTTAATTGTTTAATCTTTTGGGAAGAAAAGAAGGATTCCTAAGGGCCTAATCCTCTCTGAGGGAAACTTGAGATTTCTCTGTGATCTTTGTTTATATCCAATTCAACTTCCTACATTGGCAGGCAACTACTCCCAAACCACAGGCCACTTCTCAATGTTTTTTAGGATCTTGTTTCCTAACATGCTAACATCTGTGACCTCATCTCTTTTCTCATACCATGTTAATTCTGAGGTAATATATTAAGAAATAATAATAATCTGACATGGTTACAGCCTGATTCAACCTATTAAGCATGTTTTGCAAAACTGCCCAAGTTTTACCTGAATAGAAAACCAAAATCTAGGGCAGAAGTTTGAGTTTTAACCCCACAAATGCTCTATCTAAAGTTTTTGAGATAAATCTCTAAGGCTGGAGATGACATTCCCAGTGGGGCAGAACACTTGATATGAAATGTATACATTTTCTATTTCTCTCTCACAACTGTGTTCAAGATCTAATGAGACTTTAGCAGAAACACAGCTAGTCGTGTAATGAGACTTCAGCAGAAACACAGCTAGTCATGATCCACAAAAACAGGCTCAGAGGGCATATATGCTTATTATAAAAAAATCCAAATAGTATAGAAATGTTTAAGGAAGATTGGGGGCTGGGGTTGTGGCTCAGTGGTAGAGTGCTTGCCTAGCATGGGTGAGGCCCTGGGTTCAATCCTCAGCACCACATAAAAATAAATAAATTAATTAAAGATATTCTATCAAAAAAAAAAAACACCTCTTAAGGGACTGGGATTGTGGCTCAGCAGTAGACAGCTTGCCTAGCACATTTGCGGACCTGGGTTGGATCCTCAGCATCACATAAACAAAAATAAAATAAAATAAAGGTATTGTGTCCAACTGCAATTAAAAAATAAATATTAAAAAAAGCTCTCAAAACCCACTACTCTGAGATATGATCAAAAACATGTTGGTAACTACCTTTTCCAACATTTCTTTTTGTTTTTGAGATGGGGTCTTTCTTTGTAGCCCAGGCTGACCCTGAACTCCTGGGCTCAAGTGATCCTCCTGCCTTAGCTTCCTAAGTAGCTGGGTGTGTGCCACACACGTGGCTCAAACACTTTATGTGCTAGCTTAAACCATATTAAACTGCCATTTTTAAAAATATATATATATTTTTAAATTGTTGATGGACCTTTATTTTATTCATTTACTTATATGCAGTGCTGAGAATCGAACCCAGTGACTCACCCATGTGAGGCAAGTACTCTATCACTGAGCCACAAGCCCAGCCCTAAATTGCCATTTTTAAGGTTAAAAAAAAATTCAAATGTCTGCAACTTCATAAGATTCGACCTATTACAGGTATATATTTTATTTTCATGGATGGGAACATATCATATAAACTGTTTTATGGACACCCCCACTCCCTTCAGTCTTTTGTTTATTTCTTCTCAAATTCTCTATTCCACTTCCCAAGATAACAAACTTTCAAATCTTTCTCCTTGGTCTTAAAACCTTGGTTGGCTCAGGACTTCTGGAAAGAAAAGTCACTGTTATCCACATAGAATATGAAAAAAATAGTAAGATACCCCAGTTGCTGTGGGAGGTCACCTTTTGACTTCGGGGAATCAGCATTAAGATAAAGCCAGCAATGCTGTTGGCACAAGGATGAGAGTGGCCTGGGCCCCTAATGGTACTGAGTCTGTGTATCAACTCACTCTGAAGCTTGCCCTATTTCTAGATTTCCAATTATGGTAAGTAAATATTTGCCTTGGGTTCCTCTTACTTGCAGTAAAAAAATACCCACATTATACAGTACTGCATATATTCTGCAGTTTGTTTTTCTGTCTTAAGAAGAATA